AAAAAAAAAAAAAAAAAAAAAAAAAAAAAAAAAAAAAAAAAAAAAAAAAAAAAAAAAAAAAAAAAAAATTTCCAGACCCAAGTATGATTTTAATTATTTTTTTAGATTCTGTTGAGAAGCTCTAATGACAGAAAAACTCTATTAACATTTTAGTGCAGCTTATCTTTATTAAATGTAGCAGCTTCTTCATACCCTTGCAAAATAATAGTACTTATATGTGTAAATTTACTTGATTTCTAGATGCTCAATGAGCAAATGAATTAAGTGGATCCCTTGAAATGGCTCCCTGGCGGGCCTCTGCTCTAGAGGAAGACATATCCTGCATATGTAGTTCTAAAGTCCTAATGTCAGGAAAAGAATGATTAGACTGGTTCTGAACTGCAAGTGGAGTTCTGTAACTCCAGAGCTAAAAGCCACTGTATGACAAGTTAGGAAGATATGTTTTCTTCCACCTGTTCATACACTGAATGGTTTCCAGAGCAGCCCTTGATATCACCTCATTTTCCTCATTTCAAAGAATTCAACTGGGGAAGAGAACACAATCAGCCAGATTGTCAGAAACATTTAGACATACCTAATGATGCTCCCTTGCCCTTTTAATTAATATACTGTGATCTATTAGAGAGAGGACTGTGTTTGTCAGCTAGGAGACTCACAAACATAAGGTCTTGGCTGTAAGCCCAACCTTGATTGTGATGAAGGAAAAAGATAAGCTTCACACCTTGGTTTTTCCATCTCTAAAACGGGTAGCCTTGTATCTTCTTAGGATGTGACACAATGATACCCATAGGCAGCAGTTTCTTTCTTTTTAATCAGCAAAAGTAAACAAAAATCTTTGTGAGGGTAGAAGCTGTTAGAAAGTACCATATAAAGGAATAGGACCATAAATCTAGGGAAATTCTAAGCATTCTGAAAGCTGCTTTTAGGCAGGGCAACAGCCAAAAGACCAGCTGGTAGATTGAGACCTTCCTCAAAAACCTGACTTTGTTCTCTTGTGGTTCCATTTTCCTCTTTTCAAATGGGGTCTAGTGGCTTAGTTGTGGTTATTCCACAGTGATGCCTCTTTTATTGCTATTCTTACAGTTCTGACAACAACAGCATTCTTGCACCACTTAACTCTCCAAGATGCAGGCAGGGGAGGCAGCTGCCTTATTTCTGATGTGCCTGTATTACCTGCAGCAAAAACATCCCAGTGTTCTACCTTTGTCTAGGAGTTGGGGCTGGGAGCAGGTATTCAGTTTAAGTTTTATGTGCCATCTGTATGTTTTCAAAAACATTTAATATGATCTTGGCCGGGCGCGGTGGCTCACGCCTGTAATCCTAGCACTTTGGGAGGCCGAGGCGGGTGGATCACGAAGTCAAGAGATCGAGACCATCCTGGTCAACATGGTGAAACCCCGTCTCTACTAAAAATACAAAAAATCAGCTGGGCCTGGTGGCGCATGCTTGTAATCCCAGCTACTCAGGAGGCTGAGGCAGGAGAATTGCCTGAACCCAGGAGGCGGAGGTTGCGGAGCCGAGATTGCACCATTGCACTCCAGCCGAGGTAACAAGAGCAAAACTCCGTCTCAAAAAAAAAAAAAAACAAAAACAAAACAAAAAAAAAAACATTTAATATGATCTTTATTTCAAGATTTTATAGCCCTTTCAAGTTGCTCTAGGGAACCTTAAGCAGTTTCTTAGCGAAACAGGTAGACAGTAAGTGTGAATCAACTGAGTCCAGGAAAGAATGGGGTTTGGGAAGACCATATTGTTTGGATTTTCTGCTAATATTAAAACTGGATTTTTACAACACAGGCAGGGAGAATTACTGTCATGTGGTGGACCAGGTGGGAGAGGTGGCATATGACTAAGTAAGTCAGCTGACCTCAGTTAAAGGGCTGTGACCATCCATACAATGGAACCAGTACCTCGTCCAACTGTTGCTCTCAGTTGAGTGAGCTTCTCATGTCTGAGGGGGTGATTGGGGTGATGAAGACTTTTGATGGAACTGACCTCACACAGGTTTCCTCCAGGGGGAAAAACCCACCAAACTTTAAGAATTCCAAAACAATTTCACAATTCTGATTTTAGTGGAGGTTTGATTTGAAAAGGGACTCCATCTGCACCTTCTCTCTTGCCTTTGTTTTATAGATGTCAGTAATGCCAGTATTTTAAAAAGTAGAAATGAATTATAAATTATATCTTAAGGATTTTGTTTTGAAGAATTGTTTAATTGTCTAGGATTTCTTCCCCTTTCAGTAGCTTCAGATCCCAATAGGTAGGCAAAATGAAGATAATAGTAAAAAACTAAGCTTTTCGTAAGAGATGTTATTTATTTTTAAGTAGAGATGGGATATTGCTATGTTGCCCGGGCTGGTCTCGAACTCCTAGGTTCCAGCAATCCTCTAGCCTCAGCTTCCCAAAGTGTTGGGATTACAGGCATGAACCACTACCCTCAGCCTGAGACATTATTTCAGTAGGAGATCATGAATATATAAGGAATTCAGGAGTACATATGTAAAGTCTTCTCTTGAACCTACATTTTTGGTCAGGGGAAGAGGTGATTTTTTAGGTATCATAATGTGCAAAGTAATGAATAACAGTCTCTAAAGACATTTAAAACAATAAAGTATAAATATCTTTATTCAGAACGAGCTGAGCTCTGAAGCTTGATGTTTTCAAGGGTTTTTTATCAGGTGGCTTGTGAAAGCCTGTCATTAACTAAACCTGTGTTGTGTTTCCCTCAGAATTTCATTAAAAAGGTATGCATAGGTTCACATCCCCCTTACATGAAGGGGCACTGAAACAGAAACTTGATAGAAATATTGAGGAGGGAAAAAGATAAAGCCACCGTGGCACCTGGCCTCCTTCTTTCACTTCCCTTCCCAATTCTGCCCCTTTGAGATGTTCTTTGAGAAGATGGAGGAAGCTTGCTATGCATAGGGTCATCACCCTGGATCTGGCGACGGGAGTGGCTCAGCACTGGGAGTTCCCTCCCCAAAGCCCAGAGCTAATTCATCACGTCCAGCTGCTGTCAAGAGTTGGGCAGTCCTGTCCCTTGGCTTTCTGGGGAAGGCCCGAGTGAGGAGGCAGGAGCAGGGAGGGGACCATGAGAGTACCTGCTAGACCTAATGCCGCCTGCCCCCCCCGAGGCCATCTGGGAAGGAGCTACCTTGTGGACTGGGGTACAGGAAGGCAGAGAATAGAGGGTTGGAATCCAGAAAAGAGGGTGGAGGGCTCGACTGCAGTTACTGCCATTGTCTGAGGACAGACCAAGCCCTGGTGCAGAAATTGGCTGTTGGCCTTTTCTCTTCAGATGTTCGCATGCAGGAAGTGCCTTTAATAAAGTATGGTTTACTAACCTGAGTATGCTGTGCATGTGCACATTTGGATGCCAAACATACAGGCAGGTAAAACTAAGAAGCCAAATGCTAAGATAGTCATTGATGAATTGAAACCAGCCTTACTGGCTGCTCTATTGGAGTGATTTGCCCAAACTGCTCCAAACTTTTGTTTGGTTTACTAAAAACATTAGTTGGAAAGGTACAGCATTAATTTAAGGCAGGGAAGCCTCCAGCACGTGAGAGTCGTGCCTCTCTTGGTGATGCTGGGAGGGAAGGATGGGAGATGAGAGTCATTTCACCGCTGCTTGGCTCCTCCTCTTCCTCTCCCTGCCCTGGAGCGGCAGCCTCAGCTTTCCAGAGTCTCTTGCCTGGTGCTAGGCCCCGTGAGCGGTTGGATTTTAAGTATTTCTGCTATTTTCAGTATCATCAGTCATCACTTTCAGAGTTTCTTTTCTTTTTCAAGGGTACCCAGTCTAACTGTTTAGCTCCTTTTCAATAACCCTCCTCACTCACATACGCCCAGTCAGGAAGATTAATAATGTTAACAGATTTACTATCGCTGCAAAAAACATTAGTTAATTAGACTTTTACACCTCAGTCAGATGGCATTAGACACCCTTTGTGCACTTTAACTCAAGGATGTTAAAGACCTAAATCTTTCAGAAAAAAAGAAAAGAAAGAAAAAGGACAGGCACTTTTCCAGTTTAAGCTGCATGTTGGTCCATGTTAATTAGGCATTTGTCCTTTAGTCTGGAGGTGATAGAAAATGCCAGTTACTGTGGTATTTAACTGACATCAAACTCCTGTCCAAATAATTCAGTTGGGCCCAGCCTTCTCTCTTAATTGGTGGGAAGGAAAACTTCGGCACACACCCAGAATAGAGGAAACTGTTACTTACATTGAACATTTTAAAGTTTCATTCTGAAGGATCTGAAGGACATTTGAATGTTTTTTAAATTATCCAGTTGAGCTTTTTTAAAACAGTAACAAAAGAATCTCCCTTAAAACTTGAGCTACCCAAAATGATTAGCTTTTGTAAGTCTTCAGAAAATGAAAGTTTAGTAATTGTTGTTATCCAAGGTCAAAGTTGTGGTTGTTACCCAAGGCCCTTATAGATTTATGTATCTCTTTGGCCTTGTTTTAAATTAGTGCTCTGAACATTGACAGTTTTCTAGCTCATACTTATATTTCTTTATTAATACCAGAAATTCACAAATGGGTTAAAGCACCCAGCAGTATACACATTTAAAAATCAATATATGATAGCATATTGGGACAAAAGTGACACGAATATGATTGTTTCATGGGAGCAATTAGATGACACTTTGTTTTTTAAAGCAACTTGTTCCTAGTTGCTGGAGAATGTAATCCCCCATAACAAGTATAGTTTACCTTTTTCATGAGTAAGGTA